CGGTCTCAAGTCAAGGATTACCTGTATTCAATGGTGGGATACAGCCGGTTCGGGCTGGTTCGGGAGAACTGGTTGTTAAATTGCTGGCTGGCTCTGCCCCTCCCTGCCCTGCCCCTTCCAGAAGTCCCCACGCGCCCTGTTTTGGCTCCCAGATAAGTGCAGGGAGGCCTACTGGGCCCAAAATGGGGCACAGGGGGTGCGGTACCTCCCCCGGCGGCCTGTTTTTGCTCCCAGGAGGCTGCAGAGACACCTACTATGCCCAAAACAGGGGGCGGGGGTGGCACATACCCCCCGCAGTCCATTTTTGCTCCCAGGACACTGCAGGGAGGCCAAGTGCTGCTTGTCATATGCTCTCATAGAGAGGGGCTCCTCCGGGTGCCGTCAGCCAAACAATGTCGACTGGCGGCCCCCAGGGGGAGAGCCTTCTCTGTGGGGGCACCTACTATCTGGAACAAGCTCCCCCCGGAGATACGGAGGATCCCGGATCTGCGCACCTTCCGCCGCGCTCTAAAGACCTTTTTATTTCACCAGGCGGGCCTGGCCTGACTTTCTCCCTCTTTTTAAACAAATTTTAAACAATTTTAATATTTTAATATTTTCAATATCTTTTAATTTTCAAAGTTTAAATCTGTTTTAAATTGATTGGGGTTTTAATCTGTCTGGGCCAAATTATTTAATTCGATTTTAGTTCTGTTTTTTAAATTTTGTATGTATGTATTTTATTGTTGGCTGTTCACCGCCCTGAGTCCTTCGGGAGAAGGGCGGTATACAAATTAAATAAAAGTTAAAGTTAAAGTCACACCCTCTGGCCACGCCCACCCAGCCAGTCATTACGGCAGAGAACTGGTTGTTAAATTATTATTATTATTATAATTTTATTTCTATACCGCCCTTCTCCTGCGGGACTCAGGGCGGTGTACAGCCAAGATAAAACATTGCATATAAAATTTAAAAACAATTTAAAAAACAATTAAATAATTTCAGCCCAAGATATTAAAAACAACCCAATTAAAACCAAATTCAATTAAAACTGAGAGGATGGGATCAAGCCAGCCCAGCTAGATGGAATAGGTGTGTTTTCAGGGCCCGACGAAAAGTCCGGAGGTCTGATATCGAGCGTATCTCAGGGGGTAGGTCATTCCAGAGGGCGGGTGCTGCCACAGAGAAGGCTCTCCCCCTGGGGGTCGCCAGCCGGCACTGTCTGGCCGACGGCACCCTGAGGAGGCCCTCTCTTTGCGAGTGAACCGGTCGGTGGGAGGCTATTGGCGGCAGAAGGCGGTCTCGCAGATAACCCGGCCCTAAGCCATGGAGCGCTTTAAAGGTGGTCACCAACACCTTGAAGCGCACCAGGAAGACCACCGGAAGCCAGTGCAGCTCACGCAGGAGAGGTGTCATATATGAGCGCCCCGTCGCTCCCATAATCCCCCGCGCGGCTGCATTCTGGACTAACTGTAGCCTCCGGGTGCACCCCAAGGGGAGCCCCATGTAGAGAGCATTGCAGTAGTCCAGGCAGGAAGTGACGAGTGCTTGAGTGACCGTGCGTAGGGATTAAATTATTTGAATCCCACCACTGCCTGTATTTAGGAAGGAGCTACAAGTAATCGGAGCAGCTACAACAAAAACGAAGAAGGCTCTGTTCTTTATTCTGTGCATTAGGGTTTGGGTTTTTTTCGTACTGTGGACAATGGGCTGTTTTGCTGTTCCAACTGCTCAAAGTGTAATGCCATTTCCTCCCTTAATGTTGCCCTCCGTTTTCAGTGCGGAAAACACAATTCTGCAGCTACGCAATTGGCCTGCATTAAAGCAGGCTCTAAGAGGCACCTGCTCTGCACTCCAGTGGTGAACCTTTTATTCCCGCAGAAACTTTTGTGGACTGCTGTGCACTAAGCGACCTTGTCTCTGCAGCTCCCTCTTTAGTGTTCGCCCTGCTTGAGAGCTTTCTCTCTCTCCTTAGTGCTTTGTGGAAGCGGGCAGATGCTGCCGCTTTTGACCAGATTTTAAATCCTTTTTCGAGATGATTGTTTGAGAGAGGAAGGAGCTTCATTCTGGTTGTCGTTTGTGGTTTGTTTAGAAACGAGGATTGGGTACAAGGAATCACAATCCCCGGGAGGAATTAATATATAAAATGTCCTTTACGTGGACAATCCCAAATTAAAGTCAAGACGATTGACTAATTTTTGATGGTAAAAACCAGGAATAAAAATGTTACAGAATATTAAACCCCGCATACGTAATACAGAGAGTCCTCGACTTGCAACAGTTTGTTTAGTGACCAAAGTAGCAATTCTCTTTGAATAAAAGTAAAAGTAAACAAGATCCACATTCTTCCATATCTAACTAATATCCTAGAAACAGGTCTTACATAAGTTTTTTTTTTTTTTTTTTAAAGGTAAATAAATCAAGAATGTTCTCTAAATCAAGGTTCTCCAACCTTGGCAACTTTATTGTTGCCAAACTGGCTGGGGAATGCTGGGAGTTGAAGTCCGCCAGGCTTAAAGTTGTCAAGGTTGGAGACCTCTGCTCTAAATTCAGAAAAGGACACATTATCAAATATTATATTTTGGCTTTCTATATGGACTTAGACAGTGTTTCTTAACCTTGCCCACTTGAAGAGATGTGGACTTCAATTCCCAGAATTCACCACCCAGCAAGGCTGGCGAGGGAATTCTGGGAGTTGAAGTCCATACTTCTTTACGTTGCCACGGTTGAGAAAAACTGAACTTAAGGGACAGATCGCAGCATCTCACATTAATCCTTTCTACTAAAACAAAAGAAATGCCGAAGTAAAGGATTTATATTCAGCTCTCTAATCCAATTAGCATAATTAGATTTAATTGGGCAATCCATCCCCATGACAGCTTGAAACTAGGAAGCCAGGCTTACTATGACTCCGTGGAAAATCTAGCTGCAGGAGTGTGATTTCACTGAATTCCCAAACCATAAAAGTTTCTTGCTATTTTATTGGCTTCCAAATTAATTATCTGAGCACCAGACAATCTGCCTGTGCCCGAAAGAGCCGGTTTAACGAAGATTTTAGCCACAGCTTCATCCCCCCCCACCTTTTTTTATTTTAATTTGATTTATATGCCACCCTTCTCTGGAGACTCAGGGCGGCTTACAATGCGTTAAGCAATAGCCTTCATCCTTTTGTATATTTATACCAAGTCAGCTTATTGCCCCCACAAACTGGGTCCTCCTTTTACCTACCTTAGAAAGGATGGAAGGCTGAGTCAACCTTGAGCCTGGTGAGATTCGAACCTGCAGTAATTGCAGTAATTTGTTTAACGAAAGATATTTGGTCACTGATGAGGAGTGCATTATGCCCAGGAATATTCTGTCTCACTTCTCAGAGCCAGAAGAAAAAAATATATATTCAACTCTTTGAAGCTTTTTATTATGTTATTATCAATGAATGTTCCGCCTTATGTGCTTGTTTACTGAATTTAATCTTTGTCTATTATATTCTCACTTTTCCCCAAAAACATTCTAGTACTGTAACAGGTTTTTTTTTAATTCATTTGTTTTGTGCTTATTAGCCAGTGTGAAACCTCTGTGATAGAAAAAAGAGCAGATCGCTTTTGAAAATAATATATAAGTGAAAAGAAATATTTAAGAAACTATCGGTATTATTTGAGACCAAAGGTAACACGGTATTTAAAGATGTTAGATATCTAGACACAATGTCTTCCTTTTTCTCTCGTTTTAAAAATTTACACTTACTGTGGGGTTCTTGGTGGTCTCTGATCTCAGTTGTTTCCTCCAGATGTTTTATGTCCCAACTAGGTAACATCATCAGTTTTAAAAGGGAGTGGGGTTTGCTCTCAGTTTGGGGTTGGTGGGAGTATTGTTTTCTTCTTGCTGATTCCTTGATTAGGTTGTTGTTTACTGCTTATTTGTTTGTGTTGGTGGTTCCAACTCTAGACAAACTGAGCTGATAATTCCAACTCTAGAACTACTATCTCTAGAACTACCGATTCAGACAAACAATCACACAGAAAGCAATACCCCAATCAAGAGCTGAAGAAGCTTCTTGGATGAGAAGCGAAACGTCTTCAAAGAAGAAACAAGAAAATGCAGTTGCCTCTTGAAAAAGCACCTTTGGGACAACCAGGGCCTGGATGACTGAGAATCTCCATAGACATTTTCCTTTCCTTTCCTTTTTTCCTTTTTTCCTTTTTTCCTTTTTTCCTTTTTTCCTTTCCTTCTTCCCTTCCCTTCCCTTCCCTTCCCTTCCCTTCCCTTTCCTTTCCTTTCCTTTCCTTTCCTTTCCTTTCCTTCCCTTCCCTTCCCTTCCTCTTTTCCTTTCCTTCTTTCTCCGGACTTTCTTTTTTTTCTTGGAAGACGTTTCGCTTCTCATCCAAGAAGCTTCTTCAGCTCTGATTAAAGTCCATCAGCTCTGAAGAAGCTTCTTGGATGAGAAGCGAAAAGTCTTCCAGAAAAAACAGGAAGTCCAGTTGCCTCTTGAAAAAGCACCTTTGACCTGGATGATTGAGAATCTCCATAGACATTTTCCTTTCCTTTCCTTTCCTTTCCTTTCCTTTCCTTTCCTTTCCTTTCCTTTCCTTTCCTTTCCTTTCCTTTCCTTTTCCTTTCCTTCCCTTCCCTTCCCTTCCCTTCCCTTCCCTTCCCTTCTCTTCCTCTTTTCCTTTCCTTCTTTCCCCAGACTTTCTTTTTTTTCTTGGAAGACGTTTCGCTTCTCATCCAAGAAGCTTCTTCAGCTCTGATTAAAGTCCATCAGCTCTGAAGAAGCTTCTTGGATGACAGAGAATCTCCATAGACATATCCCAATCAAGGAACCAACACAAACATTCTCACCCATGATGACAGGAGAAGCCACTAGTATCTAAACAGAGAGCACACCTCACTCCCTACTAACTCTGACGGTGTTACCTAGTTTGGTAATGGAATGTCTGCAGCAAAAGCTCAGAGAGAGCACCAAGGATCCCGCACAGTTCAACCCTGAGCTACAAATGTTCTCTTCAATTGAAAGACACACTTACATCAAACTCATTCAGGGCTGCAGCGAGCTCCCCAATCCCAGTGTGGCCCTTGTTCTCGTCGGTGGGCGAGGTGGCCTGAGCTGCGTTGGAAATTCCAGCAATGGCTTCCTGGACTTGTTTGAAGACATAGTCCCTGTTGGCTCTGGTGGCTGCGACGTCCGGGTGGCGGAGGAAAGCTTGTGAAGCAGTGTAGAGCATTGTTGCGTTTTTCTTCAAGGCACCACGAGCTGCAGCCATTTCATCTCTACAGTGGGGATCCTTTAGCTCCTGTTTGAAAGAGCAACAGAAAAATGAAAACAAGAACAACAATGGCTGCCAACCTGCCTCCCATTGAGGGCCTCCTGTATACTGCACAGAGTCAAAAAGAGGGGTGTCAAAATATCTACAGACCCCTCACATCCTGGATATAAACTGTTTCAACTTCTACCCTCAAAATCACGCTATAGGGCAGTGATGGCTAACCTTTTTGCCATTGCGTGCCAAAAGCGATGGGACTGCAGGGGGGGGTCGCACGCGTCTGTGCCCACACCCATTAATTCTATGCGCCCCGTTCCCTGCGCTCCCACTGCTTTTGGCCCACGATGGCACGGTGGGCCCAGTAGCGGGGGTGGGGAAGGCCGTTTTCACCCTCCTCAGGCTCCTAGAGAAGCTCTGGAGCCTGGGGAGAGCAAATAACGGGCCTTCCGGTCCCACCGGAAGTCGGCAAACAGGCCATTTCCCACCTCCAGAGGCCTCTGGGGGGTGGGGAAGGCTGTTTTCACCCTCCACAGCCTCTTGGGGAGAGCAAAAAGTGGCCCTTCCCCCCCCCAGGCCCTCCGGAGGCAGGAAACAGCCTGTTTCCCTACTTCCGATGGGCCCAGAAGGCCCGAAAATCAACTGGCTGGCATATGCATGCACGCCGTAGCTGAGTTCACGTGCCCACCAATACGGCTCCACATGCCACCTGTGGCACATGTGCCATAGATTCACCATCACGGTTATAGGCTCTGCACACCAGAACAACAAGACACAAGGACAGGTTTTTCCTGAATGCCATCACTCTGCTTAACAACTAATTCCCACAACACTGTCACACTATTTACTAAGACTGTATTACTATTCTTCTTCTCATCCTTCCTATTACCTAACTCCTTTTCTACTTATGACTATAACTTGATTGCTTGCATCTTTACGATTTATATTGTTTTATTTAGTTTCCTAGTATGATTTATGTTGATTGCTTATTTAGTATCCTATGACTATCACTAAGTGTTGTATCTTATGATTCTTGATGAAGGTATTTTGTTATGTACCCTGAGAGCTTATGCACCAAAGACAAATTCCTTGTGTGTCCAATCATACTTGGCCAATAAAGAATTTTAGAATTCTAGAAAATGAAAAATGAAAAATGCACTCAATCACATATAGAGTCTATATAATATCTATTAAATCAGTGCCTCGGCAGAGAAGCCAATTGTTATCCATAAGTACAAGGGAGCCTCCGAGCCCTTCCAAACTTCTCCATCCATCATGGATGAACCAGACCTAAAAAGGTGGATAAAGATGCTCAGATATCTCGAAATACAAAGGTATACATGCCACCTGGAATGAAAAAGATAAGTAACGAGGAAGGTGAATTAACTCTGTTCCAAATCTTAAGCAATGTACAGCAGGGAAAGTGGCTCAAGGATCATCTATCATCCCTAAACAATACTGTCTGTCTATCTGTTTCTCTTCTCTTCTCTTCTCTTCTCTTCTCTTCTCTTCTCTTCTCTTCTCTCTTCTCTTCTCTCCTCTCCTCTCCTCTCCTCTCCTCTCCCCTCCCCTCCCCTCCCCTCCCTCCTCTCTTCTCCTATCTATCTATCTATCTATCTATCTATCTATCTATCTATCTATTTTTTTGTCTGTCTGTCTTATGTCAGAGTATATTCATCAACTGGAATAGGACATGGTAACAAGGTCAGCCAATGTATAGGCATAGCAACTGTCAGCCAATGAGGGCTGTTTGGGAGCTGAGACAGTCTGGAGCCAGGGTGTGTCTTAGTCTGCAGCTTCTGAGTCTCTGCAGAGAAACTGAAACTAGTCTCCTCTGCTGAAATGAAACTAACTGTTCTCTCCTGCCTTGTGTTTTGCTTGTAACTGCTACTACGTTGAAGAAGAATCTATATTGGTATTGTACATTTATCTTCATGCATTATTATGTATATAAAGAAGTTAATGAATCCTACTGCATCAGTCTGCCTGTGTGTGCTTGATTTTTGCAACAAACTCTGACATTATATTGATCCAATCTCACAACAGGGATTCTGAGCAGCCTACAAAGATCAACAATTAAAACAATAACCCATTGTCCCCTGGGTAAATAAAACTTAATAATAATAATAATAATAATAATAATAATAATAATAATACCACCACCACCACCACCACATCAAAACAGGGCTGCTTTAAGCACATATCCAAATGTCTGGGGGAACTGAGGAAACCCGGGGTCATTCTACAGATTATGTAGGATGCCCCTTTCTGTACGCCCACCTGTTGTCTTCTAGCAGCTACGTAATTAAGCTTCACCATCTCCTTTCCAAATTCTTTGAAGCGGTTTGCAAGGTCTTGTTCGTTGGTAGCATTCTTCACGGCTTCTAACGCTTCCTCTACCTGGAGAGGAAGATAGAAAGTTGAGAGTGCAGTCTATGATTTAATAATAATAATAATAATAATAATAATAATAATAATAATAACAACAACAACAACAACAACAACAACAACAACAACAGTAACAGGGTTGGAAATGATATAGGGTTTCCTGCCTGAGCAGGGGGTTGGACTAGATGACCTCCAAGGTCCCTTCCAACTCTGTCATTCTTATTCTTATTCTAACCATTCATTGCAAGGCTATAGTGAGAAATCACTATCTCAAACACTGGGAGATTGCAAATTAGTTCCAATACTCTTGACTTTCTTTTTTTCATTTCAATGACAGTAGTAGATATATAGGGTGGTTTCCATGTGAAAAATAAATTAATCTGTTTTTTGTAGCTCTTTGAAGTATCAGCAGGAGTCCGTACCACAACGTGTATTCAAGTTATATGTGTTTTATAATATGGACATTGCAAAGACAAGCAAGCAAGACAAGCTACCTCAGCTATGCAATGGTTTCCTATCCATTTCTAGCAACAGAATCTACAACTGAAGCAACTCAAAATAAAGTTCCCGCAGGAAAATAAAAAAACTATTATTAACCTTTAATTTTTGGCATGTGTGTTTTTTACCCCTTGCTTCAAATGTATTTTCTCCCTTAAAAAAAAGATGTTAAATGACAGGCAGGCAAAACTATCCACCCAACCTTCTTCAACCTTCCGTTTCAAAAGAAAAGCAACTCTTGATATTATTAGTGTAAAAAAAAAAAAAAAATGGTAATGATTAACTGTCACAGCAAAATATATCTCAGGGCGATATATATCACAAGCTGGCGATAATACAGCAATTAAAATGCCAATTGCAATCTGTCTGCAATCTGAGAGGGAAACATTGCTGTGTGTGGAAGGAACAGGGGCTCGTCTCATTTCGTAAAATAATGCAAATGCATTGCAATGAAAGTTGAAGATAAAATATTTGGGGAGTCCGGTGTCCCTGGGTGCCGTGTTTCTATAAGAAGACTGTCTAAAACAGGGCTCCTCAAACTTGGCAGCTTTAAGACTTGTGGACTTCAACTCCCAGAATTCTCCAGCCAGCTATGCTGGCTGGAGAATTCTGGGAGTTGAAGTCCACAAGTCGTAAAGCTGCCAAGTTTGAAGACGCCTGGTCTAAAATAACATTATTCTGGGCTCCCATTTAAAGATCCTCAAATCCATTACAGAAAAGGAATAAAAGTTGAGTCACCTTACTGAACCCCAAAATCTAAACAGTGTTAGATTTGGTTAGAACTTAGAATAACTTTATTGTCACTTTGAGCGGACACTAATCGGCATACATTAAAATGATATTTCGTTGCATGCAGCTCTCAAAAGGGTCCATATACCTCTGTCAGGTTTCGTTGCTATCTTAAATAAACTTCATTCTCAAACGCAAAGTCTCTAATGAATGTTTTCTTTATTTAAGAATAGAAATAACATCATCCCTGAACTGTTGTGGAGCCAAAACTGGCACCTCCTTCCAAACCCCTCCCTTTCCGTTCTTCAATCCCAATGTCTCATTGGCCATCATGCAGATCCATCTCTCCGTCCCAAGCACTTTCTATTCACAGGAATTCCCCCCTCCCTCTATCTCCCAGGTAACGCTATCTACTAAGCAGCAGGAAATTAGTTAAAAGTTCATCTCAACATTAAAACAAAGCTTCTCCCTCTCTCATTCATGTCAGCGCTGGAAGAGATCATAAATTGGTCGCGAATATACACGACATGAACATGACAAAATAAATAAAAAAATTATGCATATACCCACATATATTATATGACCTAGAGAACCAACACAGTTGTTTAGTACTAGTTTTTAGTATTTAGTTTAGTATTGGGATGGAAGCACCATGACGGTAGTCTAAAGAAGGCAGCTGAAGATCATGAAGAAGGTCCTGTCAAGCCAATGGCACCTACTCAACAAGAGCTGAGGTCAGCTCAACTTCAAGCATTTATTGTTTGTGTGTGATACGGAACGGTAAGCGAAAATGGTCACGAAAATGGTCTATGGTACACTATTCCCACAATCAGACAGACGGATAGATTTCAGTCACTGCTGACTCCTGGCATCTGCCTAGACCGGTCCTTGCAGCTTTTTAGGCAATATTTTTAGGGAAGGGTTTGGCACTGCCTTCCTCAATCTCCTAGTTACTGGCTTGGTGCCTTAGCCAGTACATTAAACAGGATCAAGGAAGGAAGGAAGGAAGGAAGGAAGGAAGGAAGGAAGGAAGGAAGAAGGAAGGAAGGAAGGAAGGAAAAAAATAATTAAACAAGGGAAGGAAGGAAGGAGGAAGGAAAATAAACAAGGGAGGGAAGAGAGAGGAGGGAGGGAGGGAGGGAAGGAAGGAAGGAAGGAAGGAAGGAAGGAAGGAAGGAAGGAAGAAGGGAAAATAATTAAACAAAGGAGGGAAGGAAGGAGGAAGGAAAATAAACAAGGGAGGGAGAGAGGGAGGGAGGGAGGGAGGGAAGAAAGGAAGGAAGGAAGGAAGGAAGGAAGGAAGGAAGGAAGGAAGGAAGGAAGGAAGGAAGAAGGGAAAATAATTAAACAAAGGAGGGAAGGAAGGAGGAAGGAAAATAAACAAGGGAGGGAGAGAGGGAGGGAGGAGGAGGGAGGAGAAGGAAGGAAGGAAGAAGGAAGGAAGGAAGGAAGGAAGGAAGGAAGGAAGGAAGGAAGGAAGGAATTTAGCCTGCCATGATGTCTTGACAAATCAGATTAAGTTATGCTACTTAACCTGTTGTTTTCTTGTGCTTACGGCTATCACTTTGCAAACTATTCAAGAATGTTTCCAGATAGCAATGACAACAGGGCCCAAAACTCCCTGGATTTTCCATTTCCCCATTTTTTTTTTTTTTTTTTGAAGATGAGAACGTTTTACTTCCTTCATTTTGATGCATCGTGCCCAGAGATTTCTCCAAGATTCACTAGCAAATAATAATATAAACGATGCTGAAAAACAAAGTCATTTGTTAAGACACGGTTTCACCCAGTAGAATTCCTGGGGAATTGGTATTTATCTATGATTTATCTTTGTGGCATGGTAGGTAGGTAATTCATTAATCACACGTTGCCATTTTTCCAAGATAGCTAGCCTCCTCCTATCATTATGTTGTGGAGGCACAGTGGTTTGAATGCAGTATTGCAGGCTAACTCCGCCCACTGCCAGGAGTTCGATCCTGACCGGCTCCAGGTTGACTCAGCCTTCCGTCCTTCCGAGGTGGGTCAAATGAGGAGCCAGATTGTTGGGGGCCAGAGGCTGACCCTGTAAACTCCTCAGAGACTGCTGTAAAGCACTGTGAAGCGGTATATAAGTCTAAGTGCTATTATAAAGAGGACATGATTGTCATGACTTTCTGTCCCACAATGAGCAATAAGCCGAACTATATGACCACAAAGGTCTCCATGAATCTGAATCTCCACGTTTTTCAAGCAGTCCCACGTCATCCTTAGTCTCTTCTTACATCATCCTTAGTGAAGCGTGCAAACCAGCATCTGCATTTCCTGCATTGGATGAGGAGAGCACATCTTTCTCCTTCTGTACTGGCCACTTTTTACAGAGGCAGGATTGTGAGTGTTTCAACAAACTGCATCACTGTTTGGTTTGGTGGCAGCAGTGCCTCAGATAGAAAGCCCATACAGAGAGTGGTGAGGACAGTGGAGATTATAGGAAGCTCGCTTCCCGTTATTCAGGATACTGGTTATAAGCACTATGTAAGAGCTTGAAGCTTTGTTAGAGACCCCCACACACCCACTTCATGGTCTGTTTCTGTTGCTCCCCTCTGGGTTTCAAAGTATTTCTAGCAAGACTACCAGCTTTGTTCCCTATGACATCCGTCTGGTAAACTTGCAAGATTTGTTTTTTTCTCGCCATGTACATCCGAACTACACTATGTTGTCTCTCTGAATATTCAAAGTGACAATAAAATTATTGTTTTATTCTAAGTCCTTGGTCTACAACAAATAGTTCATCCTAAAAAGACAGACAGTGATTTACTCCGCTGGTTCAATCCAAATGCCTTTTGAAGTCATTAAAATACGAGCCTTCCTGGCAGTGCCAACCCTAACCCTCAGACCACTGGACTCCTGGCACATCAATCCAATCATTTCTGGAATGGTGATTATGAGATGGTTGGTAAAAGGTAAAGGTAAAGGTTCCCCTCGCACATATGTGCTAGTCGTTCCCGACTCTAGGGGGCGGTGATCATCTCCGTTTCAAAGCCAAAGAGCCAGCGCTGTCCGAAGACATCTCCATGGTCATGTGGCCAGCATGACTAAACGCTAAAGGCGCATGGAACGCTGTTACCTTCCCACCCTATTTTTCTATTTGCATTTTTATACCTGCTTTTGAACTGCTAGGTTGGCAGAAGCTGGGACAAGTCACGGGAGCTCACCCCGTTACGCGGCACTAGGGATTCGAACCGCTAAACTGCCGACCTTTCGATCGACAAGCTCAGCATCTTAGCCACTGAGCCACCGTGCCCCTGAGATGGTTGGAAGACATCTAAATGATCTTACTGAAATCTGTGGGAGAAATCCAAAGTTATTCGGTGGGAGGAGATGAGACCCTTGTCTCAGGCCTGATCCCAAGTTAGCATGAGAAGCAAACAGAAGGAGGTATTTTTTTTTTTTTAATTTCTATGAAGAATCTTGTTTCCAATTTATTTCTTTATTATTTTATTAAACAAATTTGTACGGACACTAATTCAGGCACAGCTGACTCCAAGTGGCTCGCAACATTAAAATCCACAATATAAGAACCATAAAATGCACCCACGGCAGCAGCAACACAATCAAAACAATTGATTATTATATAATTACATGTAATTAAGCCGAAAGGTAATGGACCACCACAGGACAGCAATGTCTTCCCACGGAAAACTATCCACAGCCAAACTTATAATGCAACGGCCACAGCTATATGTACAGTGGTTTAAGATACCCTCAGCCTGAATCAACAGATAAAAATGTTTCATATTTTAAAACAC